TATTATTAAAAATAGCCCACTTCACTTTAATGGAGGTTGTCTTTCAGGAGTCTTCAAAGAACACTATTTGCTACCAAAGTAAATCAGTATTTTGAATGTGCTTCTCTTGGTTTTTTTCTAGTTCCTATAAGCATTTCCACCACAACTTGAGGCAGATCATAAGGAAGCTGTTTCTTTTAAAATAAAACCCCCCACCAAAAATATAAATGTACAGACTGCTTTACTTATTTGGCTGGTTTTTATTTTTAAAAGGTTTAAATGCCAAAAAAAAAAAAAAAAGAAGAAAAGCCTAACATTGTATGAAGACAGATAAGGCAGTGCACTCTGTGACTTTTGAAGCATTTAAGTTACTAACGTATTAGATCAGATTTGAATTGAACTCACAGATTTATTTGTACAACTCCATGCTTATTTTAAATATATACATGCTGACCAGTGATTTCAAAAGCACACTTTAATGGCAGAAAATGCTTCTTCAAACACATTTTCATTATGAAGTCTCACCACATATACTCTTAGATTTGTGTATTGCAGGGTGTTTGTTTTGTATTTTTGTATTGTATATGGGCTTTTTTAATGTGACAGTTAATGCATCTTTAATAGTCACAGATAAAAGAAATAAGATTTCCTTGAAAATTACAATGTTAAATTTGGAGGCAGCTTTGGTGAGTTTCATTGGTGGTAATTATTCACTAGGCATTTTTAACATAATAACTTCCAAGAAGCAGCCTTTGGATATTCCTAACACTTTGTTCACTACATTTAGGTTTACTAATAAGCCCCAAGTAAAACAATGGAAATGTACATAGCACTGTTAGTTCTTACATGATTTAAGTATATCAAGATACAGAAATTTAACTTTTATGTAGGCAAACTGTTCATTTGTCCATTTTACTGTTTGTTGAAATAACATCTCTCCTACATATTCTTTACTTGACTCAAATGACATATTAACTTGAGGTCAAGATGAGGAGAGAGACGACTGAGCTGAATGTCTTTACTAAGATTACAATAAATTTTGTCAAACTTGGTAGTGGTCTTATTTTTTATTTTATTTAACAGTTTTTAACTGTGTCTTTGAGAATCATCTTTTAAAAGTATTTTGTATGCATGGCATGCTGGCATGATTGGGGGAATGAAAACACCTTTAGAAGCATGTTTCCAGAACCAATTATACACTACTCATTAGACAGTGATGAGAATAAATGTCAGCATTGTCTGTTCCTGCACCTTACACTGTTCTACAGAGCTTCACATGCCATTTACTGTTACACTATTCTACCCCCAGTCCACGAGCCACTTCATTGTCAATTCATGAGTTGCCTCTGTTTACTTATCTTTTCCACGTATACCCATTTGGGTGCCTAAAGCCTTAATTAATTATTCTTTATTTAAAAAAAAAAAAAAAGCCAGGAGTCAGATACTGGGGTAAGGACCTGAAGGGTCAGAGAAGCAAGAGAGCAGCTGCCAGGAACTTCCTTCCTATTCTTCCTCCAAAAAGGGCTGAGATCCTCTCTCAGTCCCACCTTATTACTTCCTGTCTCCTGTCTGCAGTCCTCCAAACCTCTATGGTTAATTTTGATCAGCTAGTGCCTAAGCTCAGCCCTCTAATTCCAAGCAAACTCTGTCAGAACACACTCAAAATGTCACAGAACAGATGCCCATGTGTCACTGTACACGTCAAAGGTCAGAGAACAACTTGCAGGAATCTGTTCTTCTATCCTGTGGATTTCAAGTCAATACTTGGGTCATCAGGCTTAGCTGCCAGCACCTTTTCCTGCTCTTGCCAGCCCCTAGATTTTGGTTTTTCTTTCTTTTCAGAGACAGAGTTTCCTCTGTAGCCTTGGCTGTCTTGGAGTTCACTCTGTATACCAGGCTGGCCTTGAACTTTCAGAGATCCTCCTGCCTCTGCCTCCTAAGTGCTGCCAACGGGTTAAAGGCCACCACTGCCTGGCTTCTCTAGATTCTTAAATAGAACATACAAAAATGTTCTTTATGTTTTCAGTTTTATTCTGACTAGACTCAAATTTGCCTCAGCCTATCAAGAGGCAGGTTAATATTTCTCTTCTATGACCTTGTGGAAAGTGTTGGCCATTTATTAGCAACAGATCCCTCAATTAGGGGAGTGCATAATACTTCCTTATTAAAATCACATAGTGTGCTTTGGGTGATACCACTGACGCTGTGTGTGTTTATTGTTTTTGGTTTTTCGAGACAGGGTTTCTCTGTGTAGCTTTGGGGTCTATCCTGGCACTTGCTCTGTAGACTAGGCTGGCCTCGAACTCACAGAGATCCATCTGCCTCTGTCTCCCGAATGCTGGGATTAAAGGTTTGCACTAGCACTGCCCTGCCCTATATACATTTCTTATGCCAACACTAATGTGCTATCATTCAAAATCTTGCTTTTCTGTGTTTCAGAGGTCATGTCCACTTTGGAGACTTTTGGTTTTGTATTTTTTCTTTTTTCTTCTTTCTCAAGCCAGGGTTTCTCTGTGTAACTGCTGCAGCTGGAACTTGAGCTGTAGATCAGGCCGGCATTGAACGCACAGAGATCCTCCTGCCTCTGCTTCCTGATTCCTGGGATTAAAGATGTGCATCATGATTGCCCAGCTGGGTACATTTTATTTACAATATCCATGAAACACATTATTTGTAAAAATAACTTCTGAGAGGAATTAAAGATAGTCCAGATAAATGAAGATATGTTAGCAGGTTCAGGAAATTAAAAATTCTATTTTGCTAGGCCTGGTGGTATACACCTTTAATCCTAGTACTCAGGAAGTAGAGGCAGGCAGATCTTTATGAGTTCCAGACCAACCAGGGAGGGTTACATAGTATCTAAAGATTCACTGCCCCCTGCCCCCAAAAAGCAGGACTTATTCTAACAGATACCAAAATTAAAAAACTAAGACTATTGTTGATGATTGGCAATGGAAGAAGAGCAAGATGAATAAGTTCAGTAAAAGCCTATCTATAGCTGTGGCATACACACACAAAATTAAATTTTAAAGAAACAAGCCAGGGTTAATAGTGGTGCACACTTTTAATAGAGGCAAGTGGATCTCAGGTCGAGGTCAGCCTGGTCTACAGCTGAGTTCCAGGACAGTAGGGCTTCACAGTGAAATCCTGTCTTGAAAAAAACAAACAACAACAAAACAGTACTTGGAATCAGCAAGCCCTGGTTATCTGAGAACTATGTAGATCAAACTGGCCTTGAAATCACGGGAGATCTCCCTGTCTCTACCTCCCAGTGAGGGGGACTAAAGGCTTGCACCACTAAGCCGGGCTGAGATTGGTCTTAAGGGTTTTTA